ACCTCAGCCTCCCAAAGGCGCGGGATGACAGGCTGAGCCACCGAGCCCGGCTTCGGACATTTTTATGGGCGCTGATCACCTGGAAACATCCTTTATGGGGTCAATGACAATTCAGCAGGCCTGGGAGGCCCGAGAATCTGCAGTCCCAAGAAGCTCTTAGTCCCTTCTACCGGCCGGTGTTCCTAGGTCTCCTCCAAGATGGCCAGATTTATGTAGACCTTAGCCAGTAACATTCCCCCTTCCTCATCAGAGCCAACCAAAGCAGCTTTCTTCTCTAGGAAAGAGTCTGTCCGCGTTTTACTGCCCTCAGACTCCAGAGAGAAAAGCCAAGGTCCACTGTCGATGCTCTGGCTGGTGTACAGGAATCACGGGGGAAACTGAGGCTCTGGGAGGGGCCCCAGAGCTGTCACCAGCTCACCCTGCAGATCACTCAGAGCACAGCACCAAGCCCAGCCCCTCTGTCTCAGCCAGGAGAGGGCCAGAGCTCCCGCCCAGTGCACACAGGCTTGGGGGAGCCACCTGCCCCGCCTCACTGTTCGAGCTTCTAAAGTGCAGAGAGCTCGATTCCTCGCCCCTCCCCACCCCGTGCTCCTCCGGACTCCCTTCGCCTTCTTCCTCCTTCCTCTCCCCCTCCCACCCGAGGATGCACCGAGGACACGGTCATCATGGTCCGGATTGTGACGATGGCCTGTCGTCGGATCTCGACTCTGGGCACAGGGGAGGCGCACCGGGCTAGGGCGTCCCATGGCACCTGGGGTGAAGGCTCATTCCCCTAAGTACAGAGACACGCCCCGACTTTCCCCAGCTTTTTGGGAGCTGCTGCCCTGGCCTTGCTGGTGGGAATCGGGATGCAGGTGGAGTTTGACCCAGCAGGGCAGGGCAGGCTGGTGGGCAGGTTCGGGGCCGGAGGGGGTGGGGTCTTCTTCCTCCTCTCCCCCCCATCCCGCCAACCCGTGGGGCAGGGGAGCGTGAACACTGCTTGCAGCATGCTGAGTCACGCTAATCCACCTCGGGCCCTAGGGTTGGGCGGCTCCGGAGGTCCTCTCGCCTCCCACCAGCTTTAAGCAGGGGCCGTCACTGCCGTCTCACCCATGCAGCGGTTGTGCAGGGTGTCCTCTTCCCTGTCCCTACCTCGAGGCTTGGCGATTTTCCTGTGGGGCGACCTGGGTCCTTCTGATCCGTGCTAAAGGGGAGGCCAGAAGGAGCTGTTTGACCAGCGCGGATTTGTGCTGCCAACAGGGCCTGCATGTCCTGCCACAGCTCTCCTGCAGGGGGGCAGGGGGCTGGGCTCCCCAGAGACACGCTTCTGCATGGGGGGCGTTCCCAGGGCGCCTCCCAGGAGGGGCAGCAAGGGGGAGGCGCGTGGGCCGGACTCCCCGGCGTGTGTCCACATGTGCACACATACACAGGCACACACACGTGGACACACACCCCACCCCGAGTCACATGGAGGGGACGCTCTCACACATGCACACACACGTGCCCACGCCCACCCCGAATCACGCGGAGGGGTGAGGCGCTCACCCCTGTGATCCCTGAGTAAACGTCAGCACGGCCCTCCCGACAGAGGTCATGAGGAAGCGGCATGGACGGCTCTGAGCAGCTGGAAGGGGCTGGGCGAGACAGCACAGGTGGACGGCCGGGGCCGGGACCGGGGCGGCCTGGCCTGGGCAGCCTGCACAGGGCACGGTGCTCTCTTCGGCCGTGGCCTGGGCCTGGCACTCACGGGGCATTTGGGACGGGGGCCCGTCATGCTTTCAGCTGCCCAGGCTTCTGCGTCACCCCTGGCTGTCAGCAGACAGCGTGGAAGGAAGGCTGGGGAGGGTCCCGAGAGCCCTCCACCAATGATCGTCTGTTTCCCTTTGACGACATGCAGATCCCGGCTGTGGCTGTCGCGTGAGCTTTCTGTGCTCTGAATTGTGCTTTCATCAACGAGCATGTCGGATGGCAGTGGGCTAGGCTCCATGTGGGTCTTGCACCAACGGGCTGTGTGACCTTGGCTACCACTAAATCCCTCTCTGAGCCTCAAATCCCCTGCCATCAACAGGGAGGTCTCCAGCCTGTGTGCTGGTCCAGGGCTGTTCCTGGTGAGAGGCTCTGTTTATGTATTTACTTTTGAGTTGGAGCCTCACTCTGTCGCCCAGACTGGAGGGCGGCGGCACGCCCCCGGCCACCGCAGCCTCGACCTGCTGGGCTCCGGCGATCCTCCCGCCTCAGCCTTCCAAGTAGCCGGAACTACAGGCACGTGCTACCATGCCCGGCTAATTTTTGATTTTCATTGTAGAGACGAGGTCTCACCAAGTTGCCTGGGTGGGTCTTGAACCCACGGGCTCAGTCAATCCTCTCACCTCGGCCTCCCAAAGTGCTGGGATGACAGGCTGAGCCACCGAGCCTGGCCTGAGATGCTTTAAACACCAGAATGACAGAAACCAACAGCACAGCACCCCGATCTTTCGAGAGGCCAGGCATTGGCGCCCCAGAGCCCTGGAGACGGCACACGCCATTCCCTCACCCTGGCTCTTTCTGCCACCCTGTAGAGCTCCTTCGGGGCTTAATTATGGCTCACTTCGTCCAGGAAGCCTTCCCTGGCTTCTCATGCGGGTCGAGGCCGCCAGTGTTTCCTTATGAAGCCCCAGGGCTCCTGCTGACACAGTGCCTGGGACTGCACGGGCCGGCCGTGCAGCTGTCTGTTCCCTTCCCTCGAGAAAGCGCTTCCTGGGAGACGGGAGGGTGCCTTGCCTGCGGTGAGGCCTCAGCGCCGGGCACAGTACACTGAGGGCTCCGGGCAAAGCAGACACCGAGCACGTGTCTCTCACCTCCTCTTCTGGTCCCCGGGTGGAGACTCCCAGGACGCTGTGTGTGAGGAGGGTAGCAAGAAAGGACAGCGGGGCCACTGTGACATTTTCCGTACGTTTCCCAGCCATCATCTGCTAGAAATTAGCTTCTACTGTTACCTCAAAGTCGGGTAACTGTAGAATTGTCTCCACAGTCCTCCCACAAGAGGCGACGCTGGTGCAGAGACCCGTGAGCTGGGGTCCTGGCCGGCTCTGTCCCAGGGACCGTGTGACCTCCGTTGGATGACCTTCCAGCAGGGCTCAGTGTCCTCAGATGTGCACGAATAAGGATGGCTTGGTTGGGCATGGAGGCTCATGCCTACAATCCCAGCACGTGGGGAGGCCAAGGTGGGAGGATCACCGAGTCCAGGAGTTTGAGACCAGCCCGGGCAATATAGTGAGACCTCATCGCTACAAACAAACAAACAAAAAAACCCAGGTATGGTGGTGCACGCCTGCAGTCCAGCTACTTGGGAGGCTGAGGCCGAAGGATCGCCGAGCCTAGAAGGTCGAGGCTGCGGTGAGCCGTGGCTGTGCCACTGCCCTCCAACCTGGGTGATAGAGCGAGACCCTGACTCAAAGGAAAAAAAGAACTCAGGTTTCTCAACCACAAATGTAAATCTGAACCACCGGGGGTGGGGGCTTTAGAAGTGCCCACGCATGGACTTCCGCCTGGACCATCAGAGCCAAAATCTGTGATGGGGCCTGAGCAATGGTGTTGTTCAAGCCCGAGTCTAACGTGTGGTTGGGAGGCCTGCACGGCCCCGCACAGACCAGGTGTGAGGGCTGAGCTCCAAGGCTGCCGTAAGACTCTGATGAGCCAGGTCCGAAGCTCCTCCGGCGACGCGCTCTCCGGCAGGATGGAGGTGAACGGGCAGGATGTAGAGGCCTCGCCTGCGATGGCCGGAGACCCCCCGGTGGCCTCCCCGCCGGCCCCAGCCTCTGCAGCCACGGGAGCCCGGTGTCTGCAAGGGCCACGGTGAGCAGTTCGAGTTGGTAGAAGGCCGCCTGGTGCTCCCCTTGTAAACTCCACCCAAGGTCCCTCTGGAACCTCCCAGGAAAAGGCCCCCCTCCCGACACGACTGCCTCGGGCGGCTCAAGACAGTGAGGGTGCTGTCTCGTCCGGTCTGCTGACCTCCCCCCTCTTTCCCCGAGCCGGGGTCTGTCGCCCAGGCTGGAGTGCAGTGGCCTGGTCATGGCTCACCACAGCCTCCACCTCCGGGGCTCAGGCGATCCTTCCGCCTCAGCCTCCTGAGTAGCTGGGACGACAGGCGTGCTCCACCACACCTGGCTAATATTTTGACGTTTGCGGAGACGAGGTCTTGCGATGTTGCCTAGACTGGTCTTGAACTCCTGGGCTCCAACAATCTGCCTGCCTTAGCCTCCCAAGGTGCTGGGATTACAGGTGTGAGCCACCCTGCCCGGCCCCTCCCACACCTGACTTCCAGGCCCCACCCGCCCCTAGCCTCTCCTTCTGCACCTGCACCGTGGCGTCAGGAGGGAGCGGCACAAGTTTGTGACGCCAGGGTGCCAGCCCCAGGCCGTCTCATTCAAGTGCGTTAGGGAGCTGCCCGGGCCTGGGGTGGTTTTACAACTCAGCAGGTGGTGATCGCAACGTGCAGCCAAGGCGGAGGACCACTGCCCGGGGGCTCTGCGGAGGTCTGGTCCCACCCGGAGGGTGTCCTGAGCTGGCACCCCTGTCTCCTGGCTCTCCCTACGATTCTGACCAACGCAGCTCCAGGCCGCAGCTCTGTGGGCAACACCCTCTTGTGTACCGGGGGCAGCCGCCCGCCCTCCCTCCTCCGTGTTACAGGCTGAAGTGCGAGGACTTGAACTCTGCGTAACGTTTCCCCCGTCCTCACTCTCCCGCCCACCAAGCTGTGCTCTCAAAGCTGGCTTCACCACTCGACAGACCGGTCACTCTGCAGATGCGACCAGCCACGAGAGGCAGTGCGTTCGCCCCCCCGGTCCTCAAGGAGACCCCCGAGGAAGACGGCGAAGAGCCGAGTCTGAGGCTGAAGGCCGCAGCCTCCCCCCGCCCACCGCCAGCCCTGCCGCCGCGCCAGCGTGAACCCTCTCGTCTCCCTCCCACCGTGCCGTCGGTGAGCCCGCCATGGTTCCGCCTCAGCCGGGTCCACGAGGCAACACGTGACACGTTGCTAAATTCCTGGCTGAAACTAGGGCTTGCTATGCTCATGGGACGTTGTGCTTAGTTTTCCGCGTTCGCAAGCCACCCGCTTGAATGGGACAGTCTCAAGGGGACGGGTCACGGAGGTGGGGACCTCACTGGAAAGTCCGTTCACAGCCAGCAGGTTCCTGAGAGATGAGCCAGACAGTGTTGGAAACCCCAAGAGTGGCTCAGGGCCACTGAGGACAGAGAGGACAGGCTGTCGCACCAGGCTTGTCCCTGCTTGGATTTGAACTGTCCCGCCTTTGATGCTTCATGTCCTGGGCTCCTTTGTGAGATTTCCACTGATAAAATGCTGCTTAAAAAAAACCCCCAATGTCCAATTCTTTGTGACCAGCCTGGGCAACATGCGAGACCTCTATACGTATTATTATCTCTATCCGTAATAATAAAAAATTAAAAGCCAAGCCTTCTATTTTCCATGTAAGGAAACTACGGGCTCCGAGTAGAAAGGCGACTTCTCCAAGGTCACACAGCGAGAGGCGAAGCTGTGTTTCGAAGGCAGGCCTCCTGACTCCCAAGCAGGGCCTCTTGCAGTCTCCAGGAGCCGGGGAACAGCATGACAGCACCTTCCGCTGGTATTTCCTGAGCTTTGGGGCGCTTCAAAGTCCCCGGCTGGGTTCGTGGAGGGGGGCGGTGTCTGCTCCGTCGGGGAGGATGGGCTTCCACCCACCTGGAGGACTTGGGCTGCGAGGCGCCCCGCATGGGCCGGCAGAGGGAGCTCTCACCCGGCACTTGGCCACCGCAGGGCCGGCTCAGTGGACAGCAGGGGAGAAAACCGGGCACAGGGCGGAGAGCCACCAGGCGCCAGGCCACAGCGACCACGGAGGAACAGAGGCTGCGTGGTGGGGGCTGTGAGTGGGGACGGCCCGACGCCCACGGTCCGACGACCTGGCCTCAGACGAGAGACGTACCGGCAGCCCCGCTCCACCTTGACCTTGGGCGCGGGGCACCTGCAGCCCCACTCCTGCCCTGGGTCTCACGGCCCTCACCAGCCCCTCCTCCCGGGTCTTGAGGCCAGAGAAGCCAAAGAAAGGGGCCCCGCGGCCCAGGCCCGGCCCGTGTCTGTGTGGAGCGGGTCTCTACATTCCGAGGCACAGGTGTCTGGAAACCTCGGCTGAGCTGGGCACAGCAGCACGGGCAGCCCTTCCCCATCTCCCGTAGTGACTCCCCTGGGGCTCAGGCCTGCCCCGGGGACACCCAGAAGGAAGGGGCAGCACTGAGGCCACTCGGGCGACCTGGCCGGCGGGTGGGTGAGGGTGGAGGGAGCGGTCTGGTCCGACCCCGGAACGCTGGGACTTTCTTGGAGAGTCAATGTGCCCACGCAGAAATAACGAAAATGGTGAGGGCCATTTCCTGAACACCTGCCACCCGCTCAGCAGGGAGCCGAGTGACTCACACGTACGGGGGGGACCCCAAAACCCCTGGAACTTATTTATAAAAAATTGTGCATTTGTTCTTACATGTGTAACCCAGTCGCCTTCAAAGTACTCTCCGTTTGAGGCAATGCACCTGTGGAGATCCTTCTCCTGCTCAAAACAGTTTTCAACTCGATGCCTGTTAGTGCTTCTGCTGTTTCTTTGGCTTCACCTCTTTCGGGTTGGCAAAACGTCTCCCACTGGGGACTTTCCCACAGGGGAAACAGCAAAAAGCCTCTTGGGGGGAGATGGCGTGACGCGGGAGGGTGTGCACAGGGGCCATGCCGCTTTTGGCCGAGGGCTGCTGAACACTCAGCTTGGGGGGGGCTAGTGTGGTCGTAAACCACCTATCATGCAACGGTCAAATGCTTTGAAAGAACCTCCAAAAAAAAAGTCACTAAGGCTGAACGCAGCCGCTCACGACAACTCTAGCTGGTACACCGTGGGTTTCTGGAACACTTACCTGGTGGGGGAAGCCTGGACTACAAGGGGCCTGCCCTCTGAAAGATAACTCCGGTTTTTTGGGGTCCCCCTGGTTCACTGCAGATTCTCCCAACCGGCCACCAAACAAGGTGGAATTAGCTCCAGTTTACAAACGTGTCACTGAGGTTCAGAGATGTAATAACGGGCCCAAGGTCCCACAGCTAGGGGGGCAGAACCAAGATGGGGGGTTCCCTCCAGAGGCTAGGGACCCTCTTCCCAGAGTGTTAAGGTTGCGGGCAGATTCTCCAGGCCCACAGTCGATGTGGGTAGGCGGCACAAAGACCGGAAAGGACCCTAGGCTGGAAGTTTCTCTGAGCCAGCCAATGCCACCGTCCCTGGCTTCTGTTTCCCACTGCCCTCTGCGTTGAGGCAGGGAGTCTGGGAAAGCAAAGGACCAAAGCCAGGAGACCTGGGTGCCAGTTCAGGGCATGAGACCCAGGGTAAATTGCCCCTCTGTGTCTCAATTTTTCCGATCTGTAAAATGGGGAGATAACTACGCCTCGCCCGGACTGGGTTTCAGCTTGCGTAGGTGCAATGAGAGGACGTATCGGAAATGCTCCCAAGTCTACAGAAAACCGGATAAAGATAGCTTCCGCCGACCGAGGCCTTCAGAGGTGCCAGGCGCCATAAGTGGGCCACATGTGTCACTTAGTTCTTATTTAGACTTGACGAGGTTGGGGAAATCATCCATATTTTGCAGCCGGAGACACTGGGGGACTAGGACGTTAAGTCGCCCGAGGCCTCCCAGGAGCAAAGTCAGGACGGGACCCAGGTCCTGCGGGCCGCTGTCTCTGTGCCTCCCCTTGCCTAGATGGCTCTCGGCTTTGGAGTGGGAAGGGCCGGGCAGGTCCCTTGAAAGCCCTCTAGATAAATGGCCCACACTCAGCTCTGGCTGGCCGAGGCAGAGCTGCCTGGGATGTGGGGACCACAGGGGCCCTCACCCCCGGGAATGCCCTCCTGGCTCCTGTCCTCTGGATCCCGGACTGCAGTAACCCCCACGAGTGACCCTAACTTCCTGGGTGGCAGGTGGAGGGGAGGGCATGGAAGCAGAGGACATCTTCACACTCAGGGAGCGAGCTGGATGGGCACAGGGGGTGTGCACATGCACGGACACGCATGCGTACACACATACCGTCGTCCCCAGTACCCACGTGCACTGCTGTGCAAGCCGTGAGATAAAATGGTGCAGTATTTGCATTTGACCCACGCAATCCTCCCGCAGACTTTAAATCATCCCTAGGATACTGATCACACCCAATGCAATGCCCATGCCACGTAAACAGTCGTGATGCCATATTGTTTAGGGAATCACAGCCAGGGAATAAAGTTGATGTGTTTTAGTACAGATGCAACCAGAAATCTTGTTGGAATATTTTGGACCCACGGTTGGTTGAAGATGCAGAGCCCACGGACAGAGAGCCAGCTGTATACAGCCACGCACACAAAGGACTGAGGGCAGAGCTGGGCACACTCGCATGCACGGACAAGCACCCCGGACGCGGATACGTGCACAATCCCGATCACACATGCGGAGGTTCGTGGACCCGCCAGGGCTCGCACGCTCTCCCCCACGTGCACACACGGCCACGTGCTCATACCTGAGCCCTCACTCACACGCCTCCCAAGTTCACGTCGTCCCCCAGGCGACGCTCTTTGCTGCACGTTCTCTGGGGGGAGCCTGACCACAGGGTTCAAGCCTTGGTGGCGGAGGGCGGCAGCGGGAAGAAGAGAACAGGGCCGGGCCCGGGGGTGTGAGGGGTCGGTTACTTCCGCCCAGGCGATGGGGTCTTGGCCGACGGCAGAGGGGCTCGGCGCCCTCCACACGACCCCCTCCCGATTCCCCACTGCGTGACTCACCTGCAGGCAGGCCACCCCGATGCCCACCGCGCCCATGAGCAGCAGGTGGTCGGCCAGGAACTGCTCCAGCTTGGTGAGGCAGCCTCCCTGCAAGGAGACGACAGGTGACGCGGCCTTGGCTGGGAGCAGGCGAGGAGGGGGAGGTGGAGGCGGAGGGGGAGGACCGCCTGGCCACCCCGAATGGGGGTGGAGAGAGTGCCCAGCGACCCGCCCGCAGGACCCAGGCTGGAACGGCTCACAGGAGCCCTGAGTGGCCCCAGGGGAAGCCACGGTGTCGCCACAGCGTCCTGGACTCTCCCAGCGGGGCTTCGTGGCGCCCCTGGAAGGCCCAGGCACCGTGGGCTCTCGGCCAAGGAACGCGGCGTCCAGCATCCCCCGCCTACCTGAGGGCCCTGGGCGGCCAGGCCGGCCCCTCCCTGTCCTCAGCTGGAGACTGGCACTCACCTCCACCTTGTAGATGTTGGAGGGGTGAGCCCGATGGCCGCAGCGCGCCACTACCGTCTTGCAGCAGCTGTCGGGTACTCGGCGGCCCTCGGCCTCCCGAGACAGCACGTAGGCACTGTGCTGCCAGTCAGCCGAGCTGTTGCTCCCACAGCACTTGAACTGGAGGCAGAGACAGAGGCCGGAGGTGAGGCGGCGGTGGAGCTCCTCCAGCCCCTGGGTCGCAGGCCTGCGGGGCTCGGTCCGCCCAGAGGCGACGCAGCCCTTCTCCTGTTTTTTGCTTCTTGGTGTTTTGAGTCAGGTCCTCACTCTGTCTCCCTGGCGGAGTGCAATGGCACGATCGAGGCCCACCGCAGCCTTGACCGCTTGGACGAAGGCCATCCCCCTGCCTCAGCCTCCTGAGTAACCAGGACTAGAGGCGTGGGCCACCATGCCGGGCTTTTAAAATTTTTGGTAGAGACGAGGTCTCACTATGTTGCCCGGGCGGGTCTCGAACTCCTGGCCTCGAGCGAGTCTCTCACCTCGGCCTCCCAAAGAGCTGGGAATGCGGGTGCGAGCCACAGCACCCAGCCCTGTCCCTGGTTTTGAGCAGGGACTGGTACCTCTGGGCCCTTCTCAGGCCTGGCGCAGAAGTGCTCACAGGACGCCTCTTGCTGTATTTTGCAGCCACCCAAAGCTTTTATGGAGATTATGCTGGCTGTCCTGGGGGCAGGGTGGGAAGACGGATGCCTGTGCATCCCCAGAGAGTGGGGCTGTGTACCATGGGTGACAGGTACACCGGCGGGGGAGGGTTTCCTTGTCATCTGGGAGGTGGGACACAGGGACAGGGACCCACCTTGCCAGAGGTTCCCAGACCCCCTTCAGGCTCTGAAGCCCAAGAGCTCCAGACACGCAGGGTCAAAGAGGGTGCCCAGGCGAAGCAGCGTTGACCAGAGGGGCTAGCATGAGCACCACCGCAGGGCAGGGACACCCTCCCAGATAGAAAGTGACTCAAAGACAGTGGACACTGGTGGCTTCACGCCGTTCTGAGTTGGGGCAGTGAGATTCAGAGTCCCTACATGGGCCCGAGGGCATGGCTGCTCTGAGGCTGTCCAGTGTGTGTAGGTGGAGGGGTGCAGGTTTATTTAGTTCCGCTGACATGTGTTTGCTAGGCAGCTCCTATGTGCCAGGGTGAACGAACATGTGTAAGGCATGGGTCCTGCCCCAAGCAGTTAGGATTTACACTTAGTAGGAGATGATGGAGCGTGTGTGTGGCTCTGTCTGGGGCCAGGAAGGGGCTGCAGGGATGATCCAGGGGCCCCAGGAGTCAAGGCAGAATGTAAGCACACACACAGAACAGTGGCCAGCACAGCATGGACCAGGAGTCACATGGGAACTGGACATTGTGTGTCTCTGCCTGTAACGTGCGGGTGTTGTGTGACTGCCGTGTCACTTCTAAAACGGGGACATCAAAAGCACCCCCGCGGCCAGGTGCGGTGGCTCACGCCTGTAATCCCAGCACTTTGAGAGGTGGAGGCGGGAGGATCTCTTGAACCCAGGAGTTTGAGACCTGCCTGGGCAACAACATAGCGAGACTCTGTCTCTACAAAAAATCAAAAAATCAGCCGGACATGACGGCACACGCCTGTAGTTCCAGCTTCTCGGGAGGCTGAGTGGAAGGATCACCTGAGCCCGGGAGGTTGAGGCTGCAGTGAGCTGTGATTGTGCCGCTGCACTCCAGCCGGGGTGACAGCGAGAACTCGACTCAAAAAAAAGCACCTCACGCCAGGCTGTTGCGAGAACAGAAAGAGGCGATTCCAGTAACACGTCCAGGACGGAGTGCAACGTGTACTCACAGTTGACACAAGTTGCCTACTTTCGTGTCACAAATGCGGGTGCAAGAGTATGTGTCACCAACACACCTGTGGGGCCGCTGGGGCCAGATGCTGGCCCTGGCTCGGAAGCCACTTGCTCTTGAGGCCCAGGCTCCTGCCCGAGACACGGGCTGGGCCCTACCACGGTGGCTCGTGTGAGGCCTATGTCTGTGTGGGCGGATGCCCTAAGGGTTCCCTCAGGGACAAGGCCTATGCTCTCAGCGGGGCCTTTGCTGACGCCTGCCCGCCATGCCACTCACCCTCTCCACCTGCCGCTGCCCCAGAGCCCTCCCCAGCTCCCCTGCCCTCTGAGGGTGCCCCCAGCCTAGCACTGACTGCACGTGGCCTGCTGTGCGTCCGTAAGTGCCAAGGGCTGCGAGTCTGTCCTAGCCTCCTCTGTGTCCCACAGTTCTTTTCGGGAGAGGCCCTGCACATGGATACTTAGTTGTGCACAGAGCTGACCAGCAGGGTGTGTGGCCGTGTTCGGCCCTGGGGTGCAGGCCTGCACCTGCGTGTACATGTGTGCCCCGGCCACTATCTCGGAGGACAGAGGCCCCTTCATGCGGCGCCGACTGGGAGAGGAGCCTGAGTCTTGGGGAACTGGGGAGGGGGCCTCTCCACGGGGCCATGAGGCCCCTGGAGCTCGGAGCTCACCACCTCTTCTTCCTCCTCTTGCCTGACGTTCCAGGGCCCAAGACCAAGGCCCGGGTTCAGGAGTGGGGGTGGGGAGTGGGGTGGCGGGGAAAAGGGAGACCAGAGTGGGCGGGTGGAGCTGCCAAGAATTTTCCAGCAACGGCCAGGTTCCAGAGCCGTGTGGTCGGGGGACGTCCCGAGATGAAGGCAACGTCCTCGACCACGCCGTCCAACTCAGCGCTCGACAGCCACGTGGGGCCACTGAGCCCTTGAAATGTGGCCGATGTGGTGAGCCACACCCTGGCTCCCAGCTCCTCGAGGAGGGCAGCCCCACAGACGGAAGAGGCCCGGAGAGGAGCTTCCTGGCCTGGATCCTGGAGGGGATGGATTCTCCTGGCATGGCCAGCTTCCTGTCCATGGAGGCCCTAGGACGGGAAGGGAGCAGGGGTGGGGCTTGGAGGAGGCAGCCAGGGGAGGGAGAAGGAACAGAACCAGGCCCTGGTGGGCACTTTTCGTGGCGGTGCGGACTTCAGCAGGCGGGACCCTACTGCACGCTCACCCTGAAGACGCTTCGTTCTAGGGACGTGGCGACTGAGTCTCAGAGAGGGTGAGGGACTTGCCCAGGGCCACACAGCGAGGAAAGGAAAGAGCCGGAGTTGAGGCCCCCCGTCTGCTGGCCCTCGAGCCCACAGAGCACGGCTTACATCCTGCTGGAGGCGGTCGACGGAGGCGGTGATGTGCGCGGCTCCGGGCTGCCCGTAGCTCTCCGTCAGAGTCCGGTTCAAGTGCTGCTTCAACTCATCGCTCAGCTGAGGGGTGGGCGGCGGGGTGGGGGAGAACGAAGGCGGCGTCAGCGGGCGCCCCTCCCCCCACCCTGGTTCCCAGGCCTGCTCTGAAGTCTCCCCAGCTAACTCGAGGACCCCGTGGACCGCAGAGGGGGTGACAGTGGATGTTTCTCCACCATGCAATGAGACCCTCAGCGGGAGACAGTCCATGGGGAGGGTGTCACAAACACTGGGGCCCAGGCCGGGCACTGTGGCATCCCAGCAGTCTGAGAGGCCAAGGCGGGAGGACTGCTTGAGCCCGGGCGTTCGAGACCAGCCTGGGCAACAAAGCGAAACCTTGGCTCTACAAAAAATAAAAAGATTCGCTGGCTGTAGCGGTACACACCTGTAGTCCCAGCTACTCGGGAGGCCGAGGTGGAAGGACTGCCCGAGCCTAGAAGGTTGAGGCTGCTGTGGGCTGTGATTGCTGCGATTATGCCACTGCCCTCCAGCCTGGGCGACAGAGACTCCGGCTCAGACAAAAAAAAAATTGGGGCCCAGATATAGGGCAGGGGTGTGGTGCACAGAGCTGAGAGAGAGGCCAAGAGATGGCTCGGGTAGAGGGTCACAGCCAGAAGCCGGTGGGAGGCTGGGGGAAGGCGAGACACGGGAGCCTTGAAATGTCTGTGGATCTTAATTTTGATTACAGAGTGACACTCAAGATACTTGCAATCCTTACTCTGGGGGCCCCACACCAGCATCGGCTCAAACCACCCCGCAGGGTCGTACCAGCCAAAGGTCGCCCTCCCTAGTCATGGCCTCAAATCCCCGATGCAGAGGGCACCGGGGTGGGAGGGGACGGGAGGGGTCACTTGACCCCTGTCTCATTCAGGCAGGTGGGACCTGAGTCTGTCTCAGGGTCTGGCATGCCACCCGGCCCAGGCCTTCCTTCCTGGACGACTCTGCTGGATGGATTTATCCTCTAGACCATCCTCGGAGGACCCAACCTCCCAGGGGAACGCCCCTCCCCAAGTCCCATGTGGAAAGCCTCAGCACCGGCAGACGCTGCGGGGGATTGCTGGAGTCCAGACCAGCAGCTGGGGTCCAGATGTGCGGGGGATGGCCGGGGCCTGGGAAACCGGACCACCCCTGTGCGTCTGCCTCAGCTGCTTCCATCACAGTGTAGTCGACACCCCCCATGCCCTGGCTGCTTCCCTGGGGCACTGGCGGAGCACGGAAGGGGAGGAAGCTTCCACTCACCCTCTGGTAATACACATGCGCCAAGACTCCCGCCACCAGCTCCACCAGGAAGATGACAAAAAACAGGCAGAAATACTAGGAGCAAGGAGAGAAGACAGTCACCCCTGGGCTCAGGACCGGCTCGTGACATGTTTCCCCAAGGTGGGGGGTGTGTGGAAACACCTGCTGGGGACCCCCATCGCCCACAGAGTCTTGCCCAGGCCTTGCTGGCTGCCGGCACCGGCTTCCCCACTCACCCCTTCCCTCCTGGTCTGCTGGCAGTTCAGCGATCCACCCACCCAACCAGTATGTATTAGCTATCTGCTACATGCCAGGCACCGGGAAGCACATGCAAGACAGCTATTGCCCTCCACGGGACTGGCGGCGGGGGACAGACGAGTCATTACAGTGCTGCATCATAAATGCGACTACGGGGTGAGGCCTAGAAATGATGGGAGGCTCCCGGTGGGGTAAGCAGTCAGAGAAGGCTTCCCAGAGGAGGTGGCACCTGAGAGGCATCTCTGAGGACAGGCAGGCGTTTGCCAAGTGAAAGAGGAAGGGTGAGCACTGCAGACAGAGGACAGGGCGTGTGCAAAGCCCAGAGCCGGTGGGAAGTGTGGACGCTGGTGTCCAGAGTGTGGAAAGTGCAGGGGCCAGGCCTGGCAGTGAGGCCAGGGCGGAGGAAAGAGTGAAGCAGAGACCCCAGAAAGTGCTTTTTGTGCCGTCTTGTCTTCCAGCCCTGATGCTCCAAGGGGGCATCGTCCAGGGCCTGCAGGGGCCCTTGGGTCCCTACCAGGCCCAGGGCGCCCCCATCCTGTTCCTACTGTGGGGACACCCAGTCCCTCGGAGCCCTTTCCCCGGGGCCGCCCCCAGGCATGGCCCGCCCACCGGACTGCGACAGGGCAGCTGCCCACGGTCACTGGGATTCCAGGGAAGGCCCAGCCTGTGGAGAGGAGGGAGGGCCGGAGGGAGATGGCGGTAGGGGAGGGGAGGCCGCCGTTAGTCCCAGGGCCTGACATCCCCTGCCCCCCTCAGAAGGAGCCAGGTGTGGGCGGGCTTCAGAAACACAAGGAGAGGGGACACCCCTTTTCACAGGGACAGTTGCTGCCCGGGAGCCAGGCTTCCTTTCGAATCAAGGGCATGCCTCGCCTCCACCCGTTTTGCTGTGCCCTGTCGTCTCCGGGCACCAGAGCCGGCTGCCGCTGGAGGCATGGGGCGCTTCCATTCTCAGAATGACAGCGTCACACCTGCCCCATCATTCACAGGGCCCTAGACAAGGAAGACGGAGTGAAGTCCCAGTCCGGCTTCCCTTCCTCCCCCTGCTCCAGGCTGCACCAGGAAAGCCTTCCAGCCTGTGATGAGCTTTGTCGGCCCCTCCCTGGGACCCACAGCCCCTAGTAGCCCCTTGGCGGAGGATGTGGAGAGGGCTGGGAGGGGTGCCCTGTGTGTGCAGGCTACGGGTGAAATCCCGGGGGGCCTGTCAGCCCCAGGACACCCACACAGAGGTTGTAATGGAGGCGTGGGCTGTCTGGGCAGAGGATCCCGAGCTCCTGGGTACCCGGGAGGTCGCCTAGAAGTGGGGGGAGGGAGTGCAGGTTCGCAAGGACTTTCCACCCCACGGGCAGGGGTGCAGCTGGACGGGGGCCCCGCCTGCCTGGGCCTGCAGGTGGCACTGAATGGCATCCGGGGTAAGCTGAGGCAAGAGGTGGACAAGAGGGTCTGAGGGTGGCCCCTCTCTGGAGCTGGATCTTAGCTTTCCCTGGTCCCCTTGGAGAGGAGGCAACCTTTAGGGCATCCCTAGTGGAGCCTGTGTTTCTCGCCAGCAGATGGGGAGACGCGGCACTGCCTGTCCTGCCCACCCCGAGGACCTAGGAGGACCTGTGGGAGGGGATACGTGTTTCCCAGTGACCTCACAGGCCTCCTGCCCTCCCAGAGCTTCTGGCCAACAGTGTGAGGTCAGCCAGGGGCAGGTGTGGTCAGCCCATCAGACAGAGCACGGCTGCCCCAACCCCCACCCAGAAGGTTCACCCCGCCCATGCACAGCTGGCCCCATGGCTCCTCTCTGAGCTCCTGCTGGCTCCAAGGTGCCCTCCTTGGCCTGCCCTGCTGTGCTGCAGGGGCCAGCTCCCTCATGCTGCACAGGCAGGGATGCCCTTGGCTTCCAGTGCCCCCAGGGCGAGGGAGGAGGAGGTGACAGAGTGCCTCCAACGGAATGGGAGGGCCCAGGCCACTAGCAGCCAGGAGGTCCATGTCCTGGCATCTCAACACCTTCCTTCTCTCCAACACTGTCATAAGCCATGAGTCAGGCCCGGAGGACAGTCCTGGGGAGGTGGCCGCGTCATGCCACTCCCGGGGGAAAGTCATTGCCTCGGTTGCTACTGAAAATGGCTTTGGGAGCAGGCGGGATGGGAGGAGGGAAACACCGAGCCTCGCCCTTTGGCTTCATGGCAGGCTAAATTAGTCCATGTCAGCCCTCAAAGGCCCGTTCAGAGGCATCACACAGGCTGTACCCCTGGTGGAGCTGTCAGGAAGAGGGAAAGTCTGCCCCTCCAGCGTGGACAGATGTCCAGGCAGGGAGCGAGGGCCTGGCCTTGGGCTTCGAGAGGACCAAGGCTGGGTGCTAGATGTGCACAAGTGTTGGCTCCAGGTGCCAGCTTCTGCAGTGGGAGGGCTGCAGGTGTGTGACTCACCTGGGCAGGGGAGGTCCTGAGTCACAGCTCCTGGTGTGACAACACCCAGGAGGCAGGTGAAGTGTCCCACTCTGGCCCTGAGAATGCTGGCAGCCCTGTCTCCGGAGCCGGCTGGCTAAAGTTCCTGGGCAGCGGGGTGACTACGGTGGCTTTAGCTGGGCGAGGTCATGGCTCTAACAAACGCCGCATTTTACCGAGCCTTTTCTGACTCCCTGAGTTTTGCGGAATCATCTCAGGACTCCCGCCACCTAAGCGGGCTGCGTACAGATCTGAGACATATCCCATGTGGTGCTGAAACACTTCCTTCGTAGGCCAAGCCACCCAGCCTCTGGGTCTTTGCCCTCGCAGCTCCTTTGGCCTGGAATTCTGGCGCCTACCTGTCCTTCCACACCCAGCTTGGGCATGGCTCCTTAAAGCCACTCCCAGGTGGTAGTGACTGTCACCGCCACCATCCCATCTGAATGCCCACCGCGCTTAGCCTGCCTGTCTGCTCTGTCTCTTCTCTCCTCAGCTAGATGGGGCTCTACCTAGTGTGCTCAGAGTCACCGTCACCCAGGTTGGAGTGCAGTGGCCTGATCACGGCTACCGCAGTCCTGACCCCTTGGGCTCAGGCAATCTTTCTACCTCAGCATACTGAGTAGTTAGGACTACAGGTGTGTGCCACTATGTTCAGCTAATTTTTTGATTTTTTTTGTAGAGACGAGGTCTCACTGTATTGCCCAGGCAGGTTTCAAACTCCTGGGCTCAAGCCATCCTCCCACTTCAGCCTCCCAAAGTACTGAGACCACAGGCATGAGTCAGCACACCTGACGGGTTCTTATCAAACACACCCGTGGGGGGAACAGGAAGGGCGGAGCACGCCAGCCCCACTTGGGGGGACAGTGGTTTCATCTTCTGATCTGAGAGTGGCGGTGAACAGTTACCTTAGTGACAGCTACGCCTGTGGTTCTCTGCCTGTCACAGTTTTGCACCCAGGGGACCTCTGGTAGCATCTGCGGACTCTGCTGTCACAAGCGGGGGCAAGAGTACCAAAGCGTGGAGGCCCAGGGTGCTTCTGACCATCCGGCGGTGCACAGGGCAGTCCCGCACGGCTAAGGTGCATCTGGTCGCAAATGTCAGCCTGAGAAACCCTGGGTGATACGTTTCCCTTTGGGTCCCCAGGCTGACGCTGGGACTTGATTTGCTGAGGAGCCCCTGTGCATTAAGGGAGCCACAAAAAGCAGATCTAAGTCATGTCACCTTGCTCCCGAGTAGCTGGAAACTGAACACAGATGAGAGCACATGGGGCGTTCTACTCGGTGCCTGCCTGCGAGGGCACCTGTGCGACAGGAAGGTGCTCACCTTGACACAAAGCCGGACCAGGGAAGCCTATCCTACTTCCGCTCCCATCCCCATGGGACTTGGGGGCTGGAGAGGGGATGCCACGAGTCCACATACATCCTATCCCCAGATACCTGAGCGGTTCCCTGTTTGGGCAAAGGATTCTGAGCTCCTGCATGCCAGGAGGGAGGTCTAGAAAACACGTTTCCTGAGGTGCAAAATTCCCACAGTTGCCCTCGGCGAGCCAGGGAGGGGCGCGCTGCCGGGTCTGTAGAAGATGTTGGCTCAGTCGGGCATGGTGGCTCTTGCCTGCAGTCCTCACTGTGGGAGGCCAAGGTGAGAGGACAGCCCGAGCAACTTGGTGAGAACTCGTCTCTACAATTAAAAAAAAAATTAGCAGGGCATGGTGGCATGCGCTTGTGGTTCCAGCTACTTGGAAGGTGGAGGTGGAAGGATCGTTGGCGGAACAATCATCTGGGCCCAGCTACAGTAACCGTGAGCATGTCACGGCACTCCAGTAACAGAGTGAGACTCTGACTCAAAAAAAAAAAAAAGAAGGTTTGCTCTAGGAAGCACAAAGAAGGTTCCAGAGCCCCCTTTTGCCGTCTTGAAACTTGATTCGGTACTTTTTTTTTTTTTT